AAAAAAAAAAAAAAAAAAAAAAAAAAGTAAATACACAAAAATCAGCTGCATTTCTAAACACTAACAATGAATAATATAAAAAGAAAATAAATAAAATAATTCTACTTAAAATCTAGCAATTCCACTTCCGGATCTGTACTCCCCAAAAATTGAAAGCAGGGTCCCAAAGAGGTAATTGAACACTCATGTTCATAGCAGCATCATTCAAAATAGGCAAAAGGTAGAAGCAACCCAAGAGTCCATGGACAGATGAATGAGTAAGCAAAATGTGGTATGCACACACAATGCAGTATTACTCAGCCTTACAGAGGAAGGACATTCTTATAATTGCTACAACGGGAACCTTGGGGATATTGTGCCAAATGAAATAAGCCAGTCACAGAAAGACAAATATTCTGTAACTCCACTTCTATAAGGAAATTACAGTAGTCAAAATCATAGAAGAAAGTAGAATAGTGGCTACCAGGGTTAGGGGAAAGGGGATGGAGAGTTAGTGTTTACAGGGACAGTTTTCGTTTTTTGTTTCTTTTTCACTTAGGCCAACTTGAAGCTCGGAATTTTAGTTTTAGAAGATGAAAGCATTCTGGAGATATGTGGTGTGGGATGTTTGCTGCACAACACAGTGAATGTATTTAATACCCCGAACCACACACTTAACTTTGGTTAAGATGGTAAATATCATGCTAAGTGTATTTTCCTACAATTTTTTTTTTGAGACAGAGTTTCGCTCTTGTTGCCTAGATTGGAGTGCAATGGCACGATCTCAGCTCACTGCAACCTCCGCCTCCCAGGTTCAAGCGATTCTCTTGCCTCAGACTCTCAAGTAGCTGGCATTACAGGGGTGCAATACCTAGAGATGGAGTTTCACCATGTTGGCCAGGCTGGTCTCGAGCTCCTGACCTCAGGTGATCTGCCTGCCTCAGCCTTCCAAAGTGCTGAGATTACAGGCATGAGCTGCCGCACTCAGCTCAATAAACTATTTAGGAAAAAAAAATTGTTGATGTGATAATACAAACGCATAGTGACTCACACCGGCTTTATCAGGAGTTTCAGAAGTGGCAGAAGGGGGAAAGCACATGCTAAGCAGACAGGGGCTGTTGACACTCCAGAAGCACCCCTGGGGACTCCCTTTCTCAACAGCACCCTCTGTAATGGCAGCATCAGCCAAGAGTGCACTGCCATTGGTTTTACCTTCAAACCTAAAGAACTGACGCATGCATTCCCATCAGATGTGCTCACTAAATCATGCCGACACACAGAAGACATGCAACTCCCGGCCATTTGGCAGTAGTGCAGACAACATGGGGTCTCAGATCCTCCACTAGAATGATTCTGGTCCCGCTTAAGCCTTTGCCTGAGTCCCCATCAGACACTGTAAAAGTCATTTTAAGGATGATGAGCAGGCAGGGGCAGGAGTAAGGACTGATTTGGTCTGAATCTGTGTCCCCATCAAATGTCATGTTGAAGGGTAATCCCCAGTGTTAGAGGTGGGACCTGGTGGGAGGTGAGTGCTGGATCATGGGGCAAAACCCTCATGGCTGATTTGGCACCATCCCCTTGGTACTAAACTCATGATAGTGAGTTCTCATGGTATCTGGTTGTTGTTTTTTTTTAAAGACGGGGTTTCACCATGTTGGTCAGGCTGGTCTTGAACTCTCAACCTCAGTTGATCTGCCCGCCTTGGCCTCCAAAGTGCTTGGATTACAGGCATGAGCCACCATGCCTGGCCAAGGTATCTGGTTGTTTAAAAGTGTGTGGTGGCCAGGCATGGTGGCTCATACCTGTAATCCCAGCATTTTGGGAGGCCGAGGCAGGCAGATCACCTGAGGTCAGGAATTCAAGATCATCCTGGCCAACATGGTGAAACTCCATCTCTACCAAAAATACAAAAATTACCCAGGTAACTTGGTGGTGGGTGCCTGTAATCCCAGCTACTGGGGAGGCCCAGGCAGGAGAATCGCTTGAATTGGGGAGGCGGAGGTTGCAGTGAGCCAAGACGAAGCCACTACACTCCAGCCTGGGTAACAGAGGAAGGATCTGTCTCAAAAAAAATAAATACATAAAATAAAATAAAAAAGAGTATGTGGCACCTCCCCCTGGCCTCTTGCTCCTGCTGTGGCCGTGTGTTACACCTGCTTCCACTCTGCCTTCGCCGAGACTCTGTTTCCAGAGGCCTCCCCAGAAGCCAAGCAGACGCCAACACTATGCTTCCTATACAGTCTGTGGAACCGTAAGCCCACTAAACCTTTCTTTACAAAATACCTTGTTTCAGGTATTTCTTTATAGCAATGTGAGAACAGCCAAATACATAGACACATGCCCAGACAGAAACGTTACCTGCAGGCCACCGTGTGCTGACTCTGTCACCAAGCAAGAGCAGGACCCTCCCTCACGCAGAGCCGCTGGCGTGGACAGCCCCCGGGAGGTCAGGCTGAGCGTCCTTTTCTCGGTGTCCCCTGGGAGGGTGCTCCCATTGGCCTTCTCAGACAGCACCATCTCAGGGTCCAGCAGGCCATGGCCTGGGTTAAGTTTAAAATGCCGGGCCAGTCCGCCCTTCCCTATATATGACTTTTCACAAGTCTGACACTTAAAGCTTTTGGGCCTCAGGGAGCAGCTCGGGAAGTCAAAAAGCGCGTGCCTCTCCCTCTGATCTTCATCTTCTTCCACACTGAGTTCTGAATAATCATCAGAATCTGACAGATGACCGTCTGCCAAATCCTCTGTTTTTATGAACTTATAATCTTTAGCTTTATACTTGGGAGGTCGAGATATCCGTCCAGAACGTGTCTTTACTTTTAACGACTTTTTTAGTTTCTCAGTATGTTTTGTATGCAAGTTTGAAATAAATCGGTGTGCTGAACTGGATGAAACAGATGTTACTGCCAGTGGGTCGGAGGCCGACAAGGGGGTCAACATGGAGCCCTGTCCATCTGGAGCCTTGGGGGCTGGGACTTTCTTTGCAGGGACTGCCTGGAGGGCTGGCAGTGGACCCTGTACAAACACCTGAGCAGGAGGTTGGCGTAAGTCACTTAGGAGGCACGACTGTGGCTCGGTTCTCACAAGCGGCTGTACACCGAGCAGCTGAGGCCTGGTGACGTGGAGCCCCATCAAGCACGAACTCCCCTGGGGCGGCTGGCTCTGTCTTGCAGTTTGGGGCTGGAAGGGAACCAGCCTTTCCTGACCTTTCATTTCTCCAGATGTTACCTTGACACAAATGGCTTCTAGTTGCTTACCTACAAGACAAGAAAGGGAAAAGAAGCATTGTGCTTATCAACATGTCTGCAATTTTGCTCTCATAGTAAATCCATTGACATTTTTTCTAAATTAAGTCTTACATACAAAAGTTTATGTAATGTGTTTGTATTAAGCTGGTGTTTTTCAGACCTTTCTGACCAGAAACCACTGTGATACAGGCTGTGCTTGGTGGCTCACACCTGTAATCCCAGCACTTCGGGAGGCCAAGGTGAGCAGATCACTTGAGGTCAGGAGTTCAAGACCAGCCCGGCCAACATGGTGAAACCCCTTCTCTACTAAAGATACAAAAATTAGCCAAGCATGGTGGTATATGCCTATAATCCCAGCTACTTTGGAGGCTGAGGCATGACAATCGCTTGAACCCAGCAGGAGGCGGCTGCAGTGAGCCAAGGTCACAGTACTGCACTGCATCCTGGGTGACAGAGCGAGACTCCATCTCAAAAAACAAACAAAAAGGCTGGACACAGTGGCTTACGCCTGTAATCCCAGCATTCTGTGAGGCAGAGGAGGTTGGATCACTTGAGCCCAGGAGTTCAAGACCACCCTGGACAACATGGTGAAACCCCATCTCTACTAAAAATACAGAAGTTAGCCGGGTGTGGTGGCACATTCCTGTAGTCCCACCTACTCGGGTGGCTGAGGCAGAAGAATCATTTGAGCCTGGGAGCAGGAGAGGCTGCAGTGAGCTGAGATCATGCCACTGCACTCCAGCCAAGGTGACAGAACTAGACTCAGTCTCAAAAACAAACAATACCAGACCACAGTGAAACATTTTACATTATGACCTCGTGCACATGTATATAAATGAAAAGTTCATGGAACTACTTACCATTCCTATGTAAATGCCTGCTGATTGTACCTATTCTATATCACTTTTTTTTTTTGGAGATAGGGTCTCACTCTGTTGCCCAGGCGGGAGTGCAGTGGCATGATTTCAGCTCACTGCAACTTCCACATGCCAGGTTGAAGGGATTCTCCAGCCTCAGTCTCCTGAGTAGCTGGGATTACAGGTTACCGCAACCACGCCTGGCTAATTTTTATATTTTTAGTATACACAGAGTTTTGCCATGTGGGCCAGGCTGGTCTCAAACTACTGACCCCAAGTGATCCACCTGACTCCCAGGCCAGTCCAAAAGACCTGGCCATCCGCTCGTGCCCGCATGCCGCCTCCAATACCTGAAAGGCGCATTTTCACAAATAGTTGTATCACCAGTTCGTGGGGGGGGGGG